CCAGGGCTGCTGTTTTCTAGACCACACTGTGAGTGGCAAGTATCTACAGACTGGGGTACCACCCTGAGATGGCAGAGGAACTGCCCTATTGCCTTTTCCAGGAACATTTAATCCAAAGAAATGAGTCTCTCAGTGGAATTTAGTTAGAGTGACTGGTTGCTAGAAGAAATTTCTCAATTTCAAACCATACACTAGACTGCTTGCCAGTAAAGCCATTCCTGGTTGGAGAAATGAATAGTGTAAAACTTGCCAAGTTTTGATACAAATGCTGTAAAAATAGGCGTTTTCCTCCATCAGTTTAATCTAGTTGACTCTCAGATGATTTATATTCATTTTACTTAGCTTTATGGGGAAGAGCATCATTTTGCTGCTGCTCACATTGAGTTTCTCAGGACTGAGGAAACAGCTGCTTAGAATTTTTTTCTGGTGCAAGGGCCACCTGTGTATTTCAGTATCTCTTTCTTTCTTCCTTCTGTCATCACCTACATAAAAGGAAAATTAAGTCAACTTTTATTTCCCTGTCTTTTGATTTGGAGTCAGTTGGCTAGAAGTGTTAATGAATAATTCTGTTAGAAATGGTTTGGTAATTGGAATCTGGATAATGAAACATTGTACAGAGCTTTGCTCTGGGAGGTGTAGGGTGGGCAGAAACCTTTGAAGTGGTGAGACTGATTCTCTCTGTGATGGGGAAGGCTTACGTTCTCTATTTCTGCTTTCAGGGAGGAGAACACTGTTACTACCAGGGCCACATCCGAGGAAACCCTGTCTCATTTGTGGCATTGTCAACATGCCATGGACTTCAGTAAGTGTCCAGTTTTTTTTTTTTGTACCGTCCATTCTTTCAATCACTTATTTTCTTTATTTTTAATGCCCTGTGGTCGAAGTCCCTATTTTGTGTCAAGGGCTAATTTTAAGTCAGTGATGGATCTGATCTTTTTCTCCTCTGTGGTTTATAAACCAAGCAGGTTGTTCAGTTAGAGTTGCGGGAACCAGGGACTCTGAAATTATAACATGATACCTGAGTGATGTTGGAAACTTTTTTCTCATTTCATCTAGATGGGGACAGAAGTGGTTTGGGTAACTCTGGTCTAGTTTCTGTGGATATTTGTCTCCTGGGTACCATTTCTATCCCTCCTCCTTCTTGGTGTTCATTTTAAATGTTTATATGGAATAACAGAAATTTCAGGGGATGAAAACTCCTGACTCCTTGCACAAAGACAAAGGCTGGAGGTGACTTCAAGAGCTCATGTGTTTTAGCTTTTTTTTTTTTCCAGCCAGAATCCCACCTAACCCACAGCAGACTCATGGAAGGTCCATTTGTTCTCAGAAATCTCTAAGAAATGGAGTTCATGCCTCCTTGGGGCCTTGCTTCCTTTCTCATAACCTCCACTATCAAAGTTGGCTTGCTGATGTTTAACGTGGGACTCCAGCTACTTCCCCCATCCTATCGATAATGGTGATACCCAGGTGGTGTCTCTCCCCTGTTTTGTGACCCCTTGTAAATCTTTCATGTCATCCCTCAGCATTCCATTTAGACTAAGTTATCTCAGTCCTTTTACTCCTTTGCGGGGCACAGAAAAAGCCAGCACTTTAGTTTTGTTCAGTCTGTGTTTGGAACCTTTAAAGTTCTTCCTATCTGTTATCCATTTAGAGATGTGGGTTCTTCATCTGACAGTTATTGAGTATCTGCTGTGTAGCAGCCACTTGGAATATTAAGGAGATTAGAACACGAGCCCTGCTTCCAAGAGCTCCCAGTCTCTTGGGGAAGCTAAATTTAGTTTAGCTTCATGCTTTAGAATGTGAAAGGTATATTTGTTTTCTTTGAGAGAGAAAGAAAACAGAAAAATGCAAGCTTAGATGGGTACTGAAGAATGAGGTTGTCCTTCAGGGCTCCAGAGAGATGTCACTTGAAGAAGGTGAAGCGGACCCTGGAATGGGCTTTGCTGGACTCTTCCAAGAAAGGGATTAGACAGGCAGGTCTTAAAGAGAGCAAGGAAGCAGCTCTAATGGGAAAGGTTAGGAAATCTAGCCAGTCTGCGTAAGTGGTGCCTCTGGTCAGGCTCTGGCAGTAGATGTGTGAGAGGCAGGAAGGAGAGAGTGCAGGGGGTCAGGGAAAGAGCCAGAGAAAAGAGGTCATATGTCTGAGAGCCTGGAAGCCTTCCATCTGCTTATTGTTTGGGCTAAAAGACTGTTCTACTGATTTTAAATGAATTCTTTGAATAAGGAGACAGTTTTAGAAGAACAAAATCCATACCTAATATTCAAGAGCCTCGACTTTCTTAATCTGGAATAAAGAAACGTTGACGTCCCCTTCGGCAGTAAAATTGTTTTATCTGATCTCAAGAGGAGCACAGCTGTCAGACAGGAATAGTACACGGGGCCTGTCGACGTTGGTGACAGCAAATGTGTATTGTAGGAGAGTGATATAAAAAAAAAAGAGGCTTTTTCATCCCTCTTCCTCTTAAAATCTCAATCCAGAGTCACAGTGTAAGCATCTTGCCTAGTACGTGATCCAATCCCCTCCCCCCACCCTGTTTTTCCAAATGGGCACAATCTTGTGGGAATCAGAAAGGAAGTATTTCTGCCTTCTAAGGACCTTAGCAGACCTGAGACCCTAAGACCAACAGCTACTAATCCTCCACAGTCCTTTGAAGGAGGGTGGAAAGGGAACTTGACAGAAATTTTAAAGTGAGTAGAGCAGGAATAGAATTCAGAGCCTTTTCCCATTGTTTCAACTAAGTAAAATTGACTTCTACTTGTAGAAACCTTTTCATGTAGGACTAAACAAACAAACAAACAAAAACCCAAAAAACCCCCACTGTGTCTAGGAACACTGTCAGGATTGTGTACAGGTATGTTTGGATGTTACTCGACTTTATGGGTGTGTTGGATAATTTACTTTTGTTCCTCTTTATTATTTATTAATTATTACTTCTCATCTTGATTTTACCTTCTGAACAAAAATTGCTGACACTTATTCAATGGAGCTATTTCTAAATAATAAATAATTTCTGTTGTCTCAATTGCAGTGATTTAGATATGAGATTTGTTATTTCATCCGTGACTCGTCTTTTACAAATTACCACATACATGTTGAGATTTTTCATTTTTCTTGATTTACTGAATTCCATTAAAGAACATAAAGGGTAAAATAATCAGATTTATAGGTTTTTCATAACGAACCTGCAAGAGCACATAATTTTTTTTCAGATTCGAGGGACTAATGGGCAATATTTTGATCCTGGTATGTTTGATGTTATGACAAAATCCTGCAACTACGGGAACCTTAAAGAAGGGAATCAAATGTAAATGTATTGCCCTCTTGTGGCAATTTGTAAGAATGACCGTTTCCTTTCAAAATCCTGTTTTGATGCAGCCTGTTAAATTTTTAGCTCAATTGGCTGGTAGTAACTTGGTCCTAGCTGTAAGTTTTTATCAATTAATACTGTGTGGTGGACTCAGTATACTTACTGGAATTTGTGTGACAGAAATGTGTTGGTTCTCAAACAAAGCAAATGAAACATACACTTTTTAATTGTTAAAGAATCAAATATGGTATATTTTCATATAGGCTACTAGAATCTTCTGGATATGGATGGTGTCAGAATCTGCTTTGTTTATCCCGTGTATCATGATGTTTAAACCTAATAGAAACAACCGATTTTTCTATTAGACACTTACCTCATTCAAGAGGAAGTAGCACCATCACTATTTAAACAAAACAATCTGCTTGCTCCTTTATCAGTGTAGCCTTGTGAACTTTGGCAAAGGGTGATGGTTCTGTACAGTTTTCTGGATGGGTCTGGCCAGTTATCAGCAGAATGTTTCCTGCCATATTTGCTCTTCTGTTTTGAAAAGTATCCCCCAACTGATTCCTGAGGCATGTACTGTCAGTAATGTCTTACAGACTGCATCTGTTTATCTTTAAATCCCAAACTCAATGTCATCCAAATTCAGAAAGTGCGCTTTGGGTTGAAAACATCACAGATGTGAAAAGAGCAAGTTGAGGACATGTGGAAGATGTTACTGTGGGAGGGAAAGAATGTGAATAGAGACAGAGCTGGAGACCATTGTAATTATAGATCAGGAAAACCAACTGACTTCACTAAGCCATCAACGAAAGACAAATGGTTGTCTGTGGTTAACAGCTTGGGTGTCATGCAGTCATTTCCATCTAACACTGAAAATGACTGCAGAAGATCACAGCTTCGCCCTCCTCAGGTGCCTGACTGGTAGGACAGGCTCCTTCAGTGTCATAAGGGACAGGATCTCAGGAGAAGGACCACGTTCCTCTAGAAGGGATGGCTGTCGGGACCTCTCTCAGTGGGAGCTGAGGACCTTTGTAGCTTAAGATGCCCTCCAGAGGATTTCTCCACTGGCTGATGGTCATCTCCAACCTCTAAGAGGTCCAAAACTGACCTCCACATTTGCTCCATGCAATTTGGGCAAGTAACTTACCTCCTGAGCTTCAATTTCTGTACTTGGAAAATGTGGATAGTCCTTGTATCTCCCTCATAAATTTGTGGAAAAGATTAAATGAGTGTCAAGTGTTTAACTTGTGGTAAGTTGTTGAAGTGTGTCAGCTCTTACTACTAGAGCATCTTCCAGGTGGATGGTAGGGAGGCCATTCTCAGTTATCTTTCCTGACCACCTGCATCAGAATCACGGCAGGGAGGCGGGGAGCAGAGGTTGTTTAAAATGCAGCTTCCTGGGCCCCAGCCAGGAAATCTGAGGAGGACCCTAGAAGTTTTGCATTTTTATAAGCTCTCCCAGCAATGACTTGCATGTTAAGGTTTTAGATTTTCATGTTGGAAGGGGAATAATGGACCACAGTTAGACAATGGGAATCCTGAGCCTGGGGAAGAGTCAGGGTGAGGGGATCCTGCTACTTCTGAGGTGTGTGTGGGTATGGTGTGGGAGGTGTGTATGTGTGGGGTGTGTGTGTGACTGTGTGTGTGTGTGTGATGTAATGTATCATATACGGTGTGTGTGTGTGTGGTGGTGGGGGTGTGTGTGACTGTGGTATGTGATGTGCATATGTGTGTGTGTGGTATATAATGTATGGTATATGGTGTGTGGGTGTTTATGATGTGTGGTATGGTATGTGGGGGGTGTGGGTATGGTGTGCGTAGTGTGGGTGGTGTGTGTGTGTATGACATGCAGTGTGGGGTATGCGTGGGTCTTTGGTATGAGGTGTGCATCCTGTGGTGATGGGTGGGACTGAGAAGTAGGCATTGAGAAGTAGACTGGTCCTCCAGCTGCTGCTGATTTTAAAATGATCTTGTTCTGAGGCAAGAGTCAATTGCCAGGCCCAACTATTTTCCTGTTCTTGGCAGTGGGATGTTCTATGATGGGAACCACACCTATCTCATTGAGCCGGAAGAAAATGACACCTCCCAAGTAAGTTCTCCTTCTATTTGCTGTAGTGAATGTAAATGTTGATGCTTAGAACTTTCTCCCCCCTGTTTTTATTCTCTTTGTTCTCTCCCTTTTGTTTTATTTTCATATTGTTAGGATCAGGATTATATCTATATAATTTATATATAATTATATAATTTATAATTTTATATATATATACACATATATAATTTTATATTTTTCATATACATTTTATATTTATACATTAAATATTTCATATATTTATATATATTTAAATTAAATAGTGGATAAATCAAAACCATAGTGATCTTTTTCATAAAAAAGTCTGTCTCTTACTCTTTTTTTGTGTTGGAAATACATTTCCTTCTGAGGTGTTCTGAAGCCTTCATTTCTCACTCCACCATAGTGTCCTGTAATCTGTCTTTGTCTGCTCAGGCTATCATTACAAAATACGGGTGGTTTAAACAGACATTTATTTTCTCATAGTTCTGGTGACTGGAGTCCGAGATCAAGGTGCCAGCAGGGTGGGTGTCCATTGAGGGCTCTCTCCTTGGGGTGCAGATGGCCACCTTCTCTCTGTGTCCTCATGTGCAGAAAGAGAGTATGAAATCTGACATCTCTTCCTGTTCGTATAAGGAGACAGCCTTATCAGATTAGGACCTCACCCTTATGACCTCTATTTACCCTAATCACTTCCTTGCAAGCCCTAGCTCCAAATACAGACATATTAAGAGTTAGGGCTCAAACATAAGAATTTTGGGAGGGACATAGACATTCAGCTCATAATAGATCAAATCTACAGATAATGTGATTTTGCACCCTTTTTTCCTTTTTAGATTACAGATTTTTCACTATTGCCTATTATCTTCAAGGCCCCGTGCTGATGAAATTTAGAGAAACCTAGATTTTCTTAATTTTCTCCCTCAATTTAGTTGAAACATTCTTTTTTTTCACAAATTAGAAAAAGATTGAGTTAACATTACTGATGACAGAGAAATAGAATACACTTCCATCCTAGCTCTGCGCACACAAATATTCTTCTTTGTGTCATACAGCATTGGTCAAAGACTTAGAGAGGCAAATAATTTCAAGAAACACACATTGCTTTGCCACTCATAAACAATCTTGTATAGGAAACTGTTTTGGGTATTATTTCCTGGGCACCCACTGCCAGCTGTCCCGTCACTTCAGTCAACAGTATCATTTTTTAAAGGTCATATCATGAAACTTGACTATTTTTGACCTCTTTTTTGTAATTGAATGAAGTCAGATAAAGTTATTTAAACATTCATTAATTTTCCTTAGATGAAACATGGCATTTCATTGGTTGTTTTTTCACAGAGGTTTGGATGACAGTTGAATTTGGGGGCAGGGTCTGCTTTGGGCATCTGCTTTTCCAGTTACCTTGCTCCCTGCTAATAGGCAGACTATTAGCTCTGCAGCCTGCCTGGCAAAGCTATCAGGCTTTAAAAGGGGGCAGGGACCCATGGAAAGAAACCAGTCCTTGAGGGAATAGGTCCATTCATTTATTTTCCATTACTGCAAGCTTTGGTTTCTCTGTCCGTAAAGGCATTTTGCTTCTAATAGGATCTCACTCCAGGGCTGGGAGAATACAAGAGTGAGTGGGAGGGGTTATGCAACGGGCCATTGCCTTTCCAAACCCTAGAGAAGCCGTAGTCAAGCTACGGTTCTTTTAAGGTCTCAGTCTCTCCAATTATGATTGCCTGAGGCTGGAGATAATCTGGATGTACGTGCTTCATCTCTCATTTGTGTTATTTCAGGAGGATTTCCGTTTTCATTCGGTTTACAAATCCAGACTGTTTGAATTTCCCTTGGATGATCTTCCATCTGGTATGCTCTTCATATGGTGATTTGCGGGGGAAAAAAAATACAACTTTAATAATTCATTTTAATGCTTTAGAGCTAATTATATATGGAATATCATTAGCCCACGACTGCTCATAACAGTTTTAGAAAGTAAAGTCAAGTGACGTCAAGAGAGAGAATAAAATGTAAAGTGACCTCATGTTTATAGTGGAGGAGTTGGGAAAGAGAGCTTGAACATGATGAAGGAAACCTTTTTAAAATAAGACTCCAAGTAAGGTGCTACAGTAAAAATCATGTTAAAGCAAAAGTTGGTCTGCATAGATAGAATATATAAATATTCACTGTTGGTGAAATACTGAGTTTGTAAAGTCAGGATGAGGTCTTAATCATTTTCCTGATTTGTTGTTTCCTCATTTCTTTCTGCCCCAACATTTTAAGAAAGAACTAGTGTAGATAAACATTTATTATTATTATGTGCTGTTTGTGAAATTCATCTTTCCTTCCCCTGTGTATTGGTGGGTCCTTCTATTTATAGATTTGATTTGAGAGTTACAGTCACATCTTCAAATGACACTCATTAGTGGAGCAATAACTATGCAGAGTGCATTTGTCTTTGGCTCTGCTGGACTCATTTGTGTCCTCCATCTGAAGATGGGGCACACTTTGAATATCTGGTGTGGAGATGCTTCCTGCCCTATGTAGTGAGTCCTAACTGTGGCCATAGAGTTCATGCTAATTTTTAATCTGATTTTAATCTTTGCCAACAGCTCTGTGAGATCAATGTTATGATCCCATATTACAATCCCAATTGATAAAATGATTCCCATTTTATAGATGAAGAAACAGAAGCTCAGCTAGTTTGCCTTTTCCAGGGTCTCATAGCTGGGAAGGGGCTGAGCGAGGGTGTGGACTCTGGCACCCTGAGAATGTACACTGGGAGAGAGGCACAAGGACAAATGGAAAAATTACTGGGCTAAAGTAAACCCTAAACTACTACTTAGGAAAATGACTTAAAGTTTACATTGTCTTCTCATTGGAAAATGAAATAAATGTTTTCTAATGTTCCTTCCTCTCTGAAATAAACATGAGGCACCTTGACCTTCTGTAGGTACCCCTAAAGAGAAACAAAACTCACCCCTTTTCTCTTGCTGCCAAAGGGCTAGAAGATCCTGTTTGATAGAATTCACTCTTTGGAAAAACCTGCACATGAGCACATAGAAGCTCTTACTTTACACAGACGCTTTAAACTGTTTCTTCGTTATCTTATGAAACTTTTCATGATCCATATTATGGGAAGAAAATAAATCATGACTAGCTGCCCAAGAACAAAGTTACACTGTAATAGGCATTACTGGCAACAATCAACATTAATTAATATTTAAAGTAGTAAATAAAGATTTTCCCTAAGGACTTTGCTGTAGGCTTGCCATGATGCAATCTTACATTTTTTTTTAAAAAACTTTGTGCGGAGTTTCTTTTTCAACAGAAACTTGGAAGTGACTTGGCAGTTTTGCTGTTATTAAAAATGAGTTTTGAACATCGTCTTTGAAAACTCAAGCCTATCTCAATTTGTTCCTGGCTTTCTTTTCTTATCAGAAGTTGACAATGTCCATTTTAAGAGTGTTACTTGTCTCCCAAGATACTTAGACTTACCGTGGCAAATTAGAAGGAAACAAGAAATAGACAAACTGTAATTTTTGTGATGTAAGCCCAAAAGGAAGCTTATTTATTTTAGGTTTGGTTAAAGTGTTACTGGGTTATGGATTGTGTTATGGATTTTTCTTGCTATGCACTATATATTTCCCAGAGATAAAGTATGATCAGGTGCTCCCCAAACTTCTTTGACTGCAAAGTGTTTTTTTTATGTGACATCTCTCAGGACTAATGTTCCTAAGAACAAATTTTGAGAAAAGCTTAGTTAATTAAACACTGTCCACTTAGCACTCAATGTTTTAAAAATTACTACAGTGAAAAATGAAACAAATGAACAAACAAAACAAAACAGAAACGGATTCATAGATACAGAGAACAAAAGAGTGGTTGCCAGAGGGGATGGAGATGGGGGCCTGGTGAAATAGGTGAAGGGGATTACGAGGTACAGACCTCCAGTTATGAAATAAGTAAGTCATGGGGCTGTAAAGAACAGCATAGTGAAATAGTCAATAATATTATAATAACTTTGAATGGAGACAGAAGGTCATGAGACTTAACCGTGGTAACCATTTTGAAATGTATATAAATATCAAATCACTATGATGTACACCTGAAACTGATACGATGTTGTATGTCAGTTATACTGCAGTTAAAAATTATCACAATGAAATACACAAATCTTGTGTACTGTTTGATGAGTTTTGACACCTATGTACTCCCCTGGTAAGGTATAAAGCTTTTCCGTTACCAAAGTAACTTCCTATGTGCCCCTTCCCTGCCAGTGCTTCCCACTCCTGCAATCCCTTTTCTGACTTTTTCACTGTAGACTGGTTTAGCCTATTGTAGCTTTTCATAAAAATGGAATTATGCGTCATGTTCAGATTCTTTTGCTTAGCACCTGCCTGAGATTTATGTTGTCCAGGGTAGCAGTAGCTCATTCTTTTAAATTATTGAGTATGTTCTTATTGCATGACTATACCATAATTTTTTATCTATTCGGTCAATGTTGGGATTGTTTCCAGTTTTGGGTTATTATGAATAAAGCAACTATGAACATTCTTGTAAAAATCATTTCTGTGGACATACATTTATAGTTCTCTATCAAATACTTGGGAGTGCAATTACTAGGTCATAAGGTAGGTAGGTGTATGTTTAACTGTATAAGAGTGTTCTAAAACTTTAGCATGCATCAGAATCACCTGGAGGGCTTGTTAAACACAAATTGATGGTCTCATCTTTAGAGTTTTTTTTCCAGCCACTTTATTGAGGTATGATTGACATACAAGAAACTGTATATTTAATGTATACAACTTGATGAGTTTGGAGATAAATATATGTCCATGAAATCATCACCACAGACTATGCTATAAACATATCCATCAATTCCAAAAATTTCCTCTTGCCTACTTTATTTATGGTGATGGTGATAAGAACACTTATAAAATCTACCTTCTTAGCAAAATTTTAAGTGAACAATACAGTATTGTTAACTATAGACACTATGCTGTGCAGTCGATCTCTAGGACTTACTCATCTTGTATGACTGAAACATTGTATGCTTTGACTGGTAAGTCCTCTTATCGCCTCCCTCCAGCCCCTGACAACCGCCATTCTAATCTTTGTTTCTATGAGTTTGACTAGTTCAGATTCCTCATATAAGTGACATCATGTAGTATTTGTCCTTCTATGTCTGGCTTATTTCACCTAACCAAATGTCCTGTAGGTTTATCCATGTTGTTGCAAATGGCAGGATTTCCTTTTCTAAGGCTGAATATTATTCCACTGTATGTATGCACTGTGTTTTCTTTATCCATTCATCTACTAATGGACACTTAGGTTGCTTCTGTATCTTGGCTATTGTGGGTAATGCTGCAGTGAACACAGGAGTGCAGATGTTTCTTTGAGATCCTGATTTCGATTCCTTTGGCTGTAATCTCAGAAGTGGGATTGCTGGATCATAGGGTATTTTTATTTTAAATTTTTTTGAGGAAACTTTGTAATATTTTCCATAGTAGCTGCACTAATTTCTAGAGTTTCTGATTAAATACATCTTGGGCAGTTTACAAAAATTTGCATTTCTAGTTTCCTAGGTAATGTTGATGATGCCACCAGTCCAAGTATCACACTTAGAGCTAACTACTATTGGATGAGAAACTGCCGAACCTTTTTCTAAAGTGGTTATACCATTTTATACTCTCATTAGCATTATATGAAAGTTCTGATTGCTCTCCAGCTTCACCAACATTTAGTGTGTCATACTTTAGTGAACACCAGTGGTGCAAGTGAAGGTCAAGTGGTTATTTAGAAGATTCCCCTTAAAGAATGTGATGATATTTATAGGAGAAATGTGAGAAAAATATTGAGATAAATTAGAACAAGAAAAATGAGATTTTTTTGAACTGTATTCCTCTGTGGTATGTTTATTTAGTATTAATATGAATGTAATTAGGTTAACATTCTGTATTTTCATTAAGTGTAATATTATATATTATACATGCATAATATTTAAATACCTATAATTATATAATTTGTAAATTATAATTATAATAATCATTAATGATTAAAGTATAATTATATAATTTATACTAAGAAGGGCTAATAAAATCATTGATTACCCTTCATGAAAAAACCTGGCAACTGCACTAAATTAGATTTATTTTTATTTCCTTTTAGAATTCCAACGAGTAAACATCACTCCACCCAAATTTATTTTGAAGCCAACACCAAAAAGGAGTAAACGGCAGGTATGTACTCACAGGTATATGTCATGATGTTTTAAAAACATTTGGCAACTATGAATCAGTTGCATCTACATGAAGTCTGCTTAATTCAGGCATTTGCCGTGGTGTGGTGAACAGTAAGGGTGAAGTATTTGTAGGAAGAGTGGAGATGGAGCCATGCTATTTCATAGACTCAAAAAGCACTCAAGGTAGTGGTGATAATATGGTTATTCATCATAGAGATGGATTATAAGGCCTGTGGTATCTCAGGTTCTTCTACCATGGGCCTCTTTCCTCACCTGGGTATGTACCAACCACCACATCATGGAGTCTGCTTATGTGGTATAAGTATCCCCTTAAAGATACCTCCGTTAGGGTGACCCTGTCAGGTTCTGAAGCCACAAAATGCTATGGTCACACTTGAGCTACTTTGAAGTCTAGGATATAAAATCAGGATGTCTGCTTTATGAATATTCAGTGGATATTGAACTTAGTAATAGTAATAACAATTGTTTGTACAGTGCTTTAAACCACATGAAGTAGGTACTATTATTCTGCTTTTACAGAAAAAAAAATGATGTCTCTGAAATGTGAAAATGATTTGCCCAGAATCATAGAGCTGGTAAATGGTTTAGACAAACTAAGAACTCTTATCATCAGAATTAAGGTGTCATCTCCGTTGTGGTGGTGGTTGGTGTGGGTGTGTGTGTGCAGCATAAAAATACAGGATGAGAGAAACAGAATCTCTATTAAGATCAAGCAGTTTAAGGAACCAGGTATCTTTTTAAAAAATGTGTTTAATAAGTACAAAGTAAAATCATTACAGACAGATTTCTAATATGAATAATAATAATAATAATTGCTAGGTTTTACTGAGTACTTGCCATGTACAATTGTATTAACACATTTAATCCTCATAACAACCTTTTGAGGAAGGCATTATCCCTGTTTTACTGATAAAGACATTGTAGCACAAGAGGCTTAAGAAACTTGTTCACGGTTACATTGGGTTACCCATTCAGTTTTAATTAACATATATAAAATTTTATGTAATATATAAAAATTTTGTTTCAGCTTTATTGATGTATAATTGACAAATGTGAGATATTTAAAATACAGTAGGATGATTTTATATATGTCATATTTGTGACAGGATTCCCCTCATGGATTTATTTAACACATCCATCACTTTACGTATTTCCTTTTTTTTTTCCTTTTTTTTTCTTTTGGTGAGACTATTGAAGTTCTACTCTCTCAGCAAATTTCAGTCACACAGTATATAGTGTTATCAATGCAAGTGTCCCTCAATGGATGAACGGATAAAGAAAAAGTGGTGTAAACATATAATGGAATATTACTCTAACTTAATAAAGAAGAAAATCCTATCATTTGCAACAATATGAATGAACCTGGAGGGCATTATGCTATATGAAATGAGCCAGACAGAGAAAGACAAATACTGCATGCTATTACTTATTTGTGGAATCTGAAAAAAAAAAAAATGTCGAACTCAGAGAAACAGTAGAAGAGTGGTTGCCGGGGCTAGGCACTGGGGGAAAATAGAGAGAGGTTGGTAAAAGGGTACAGACTATCGGCTATAAGATGAATAATATCTGAGGATTTACTGTATTAAGTTTTCCACAGCCAAGGTCAGAGGGCTTAGTTAGGTGCGATTTTCTTTTTTATATTGCAGCTTCGTAGACGTCCTCGTAATGTAGAAGAGGAAACCAAATATATTGAACTGATGATTGTGAACGATCATCTCATGGTAAGATTTGTTGAGTTTTTTGTTGTTTGAACTTACGTGTACCTAGGATAAAACTAATGGGTGAAGAAATATGTTTAGAAGAAAGAAACCCATGAAGTTGTAACCTGGAGAAAGTATTTGTGTAACCAAACATCTTTGTTACCCAGCAACAACCTGTAAGTAGGAAACACTCTTAAGTGGAAACAATTTACAGTAGTTTGTGAGGTTCCAAGAATGTTTCTGTGACTCATAATATTAACTGTTCGGATTTGCTTGATTAATAAAGGGGCTAATATCTTCTGTACTAAAATGGTGAGCTTAAAAAAATGGAAACTTCATTTTATGTTAAAAAAATGAGGCTGCAATAATGTGACACTTTAGTTTGCAGTGGACAGCTTTATCCTAATAAAAGGGAAGCAATTTTTCTATTTCTGTTTTGCTCTATAGTAAACCATATGGAAAAGCTTATATAGCCAAGCAGTAAAGATTTTTAGAATAAAAACCTAGCAAAACTTCCTTTTTGCTGAGTCAATTATTTTTATACTCAACTCATGGAACTCAACTCATGGACATGTTGTATATCCAATTCATGGGCATGTTATATATTCAATTCATGGATATGTTGCAGTCAGTGTGGTTATATTCACAGCACAGCAATGAGTTGCAATGCTAATTATTGCATGTAACCAGAGTTTAAACTAAAAATATTCAGTGATGCACATTGCTAAATTTTACTTAATTTCAGGTACTATGCATTTTAATTTACTTTGAATTATTTATTTGTAGGGAAAATTTATCTTTTATTTAAATATGATTAAACAAATGACATCGATTTTAATAATAATTATTAGTATTACTATTGAGTGCTTCTTCCTTTTTCGGGGTAGGACTAAGTGTTATCTTTCTACCTATTTGATTTCATGACTTACTGTTTCCTGAGATTTTTATAGAATATGTTTCAAGAACATGCATTTTGGACATTTTAGGACATCATACATTCAGATGTCTGTTGGCATCTGTAGGCAGGTAACAAAAATGAAGTGAGTCAGGTATAAAACAATAGGGAAGGGTGAGGCCTGTGGCAAAAGTGAGGTGCTATGGTCTGTCCAATGGGTGCAGCTCCTTCCTGGCTCTTTCCAGTTATTACAATGTGGGGATGCTAATTTTAAGAGAAGCCAGAAATAAGGTTTTCCATGATACGTCCTGATTTTTAAAACAGAACTGAGGCCAAATGGAAGATTTATGTGATCAACATCTAGACTTTAACCCACCTCCTTGTGACTGTTAGGGCTTTCTTCTCCTTACTGAGTAAGTCTTGTGGAACTTTTTATATGTTTTAGCATTATTCACGGTCGGGCTTTGACCCTGCCTTTATTTGTATGTCTTGCAATTCATAGACAACTTTCATAGGCTTTATCATTTTGAATAACAATCTTGCAATAAAAAAATAAACTTTTGAAATGGATGGAATGGCTATTTTTTACTTTATCTTACAGATCTGTGAGGCTTTAAAATTTTAGGAGCTTTGCCTCAGACTACCTGGCATCTGAAGAACTAGGTCTCAATTCAGACTTTTTTTTCCAGAAAGCCTTAGAGACCTTTCAATTACACAATAGTTCTTTCGCTGAGATGATCATTTGCTGATGACTTTGAAAGCCCTTCACTTGTTTTCTTTTGCTTTCAGTTTAAAAAACATCGGCTCTCAGTTGTACATACCAACACGTATGCGAAATCTGTGGTGAACATGGCGGATTTGGTAAGTATGAACCTGATTCAGTATTGCTGCAGAGGAATTTTATCTCCTGATTGTTAATAAATTGGATAATGTTCTATTTTCACTGCCCTAAGTTGCACTTTAGCCAAGGTGTCCTGTAAGTCCCTTACAGCCTTGCCTTGAACTTTATTGACGTTGATCTCTGGCTGAGAAAATGATAAAAGGAAGTGGTCAAAGTTACAGATTTGTGCCTGAAAATTTTTCCTGTATTTTTCACATTGGAAAAGAAGAGGTTGAATGTTAGTCCCTAATAATGGTATTCATAGTGTACTTCTAACAATGGAGAAACAGTTGTGCCTTTTCAAAAGAGTACCTGGTGCTATGAGAATGATGTGACTAAATAATTCTACTGTACGTCCTTTCCACATCTTCCCTGACAAGGCAGTACTGGTACCTTCCCCATGAATTTAATCAGGGCCAGTCAAGGTGTATAGAGATTATCTCCTTGGAGAGTGTTCCATTTTCACTAGGGGAACTCAAGAATGCATGAGTCTTCATCTTGGGTACCAGAAATGAACTCGGGGGAAGCCTTGAATAAGGGTGCAAATATTTGTCAAACAGCAATATTTTATTTTTAATTAGTACTCTATTCTTTGGTAACCATTGGATTGTCTATTACTCAAGGGAAATGCATGTAAGCTAGCAAAACAATTATCTCCCCTAAACCAGTGAAGTTTCTCATATTTAACTAAAACTCAAGGAGTTTCCATAAAAGGAGCTTTGTAGTCCTGTTCACAAATCATTTGATTTTTACCACATGTACAGCTGGTGTGTTCATTTTGTTAATATACTAGATATATAAAGACCAACTTAAGACAAGGATAGTATTGGTTGCCATGGAAACCTGGGCGGCTGACAACAAGTTTGCCATATCTGAAAATCCATTGATCACCCTGCGTGAGTTTATGAAATACAGGAGGGATTTTATCAAAGAGAAAAGTGATGCAGTTCACCTTTTTTCGTACGTAACTTTTGTAATGATTTATTATTTTTTTGTTTCATGTTAAATACTCTATTGCTTGTGACTGAGATGTGTTCTTTGTACTGCATAATGCCATTAGGATTTGATGTGGCAGATACATTTGGAAGAAGTTTTAAAGTATAGATTATTTGAAATTGTTACAAAAATTCAATAGGTATAATTTTGAGTTACTTTACTATTGTGTATATACTTTATATAATTTTAAGAGATTTAATTAGAGCGTTTACTGAGTATAAGTACTATTAATTCTTGTTAAGAGTATTCTTAACAACAGATTAATTATATTCTTTAAAGTTGCTGTCTTTTACATATTAATGTTATCTTTGTTTTCAGTCTCAGGGAAGAGCTTAATATGTCAGACTATATTTTATTTTTTATTTTTTTCTCTTATGGTTTTTCTGGGGGGTAACATGCATGTTTGACGTAATAGCAAATTATAAGTTGCAGCAATTCAAAAAACCTGTCATCTGAAGTCAGAGCTATTGAAGAAAGTTATAAATGGAAGTAAAAGAGTGTATTTTGAGGGTAACTTTTAATTTTTACACAATTCCAAATTTACAGAAAAGTTGCAAGAATACTACAAGGAAATACCATATACCCTTTA